ACTTCCCCCCCTAATAAAATATCAATTTTATTAGAACGACTGAAATTTGGGTCGGCTAGACGTATGCTGTGAATTTCTGGCCAATTGTCAAGGTTGACATTCTTATCTGGCATAACCGATGTCAGTGAACGTAGTACATGCGCAGTTACGTTTATGGTATAAGAGGAATCATGCAACGATTGAATATCAATATTCACTACATGTTTAGAAACGATCTTGCTATGCTCACCTCCTATACCTGCAATAGTAGTCTTTGAGACTACTCTCCTTAAACGAAGTAATTGCGCAGCTGACTCAGTTATAAAGGATGCTTGTGATCCTTGATCCAACAAAGCTCTCAAAACCTGAGAGGACCCATTTTGTGATTCGGCTTTAACCAAAGCCGTGGCTAACAAGACCTGACCCTGCGTTTGTTCATTCACAAAATGAGATGCTATACTTACCTTGACATCATGGACTGGCTCTGAAGTACATCCAAGTTCAGGAAGAATAGGTTCCCCTGACGCAGTAACCCCAATGGCTCCACTATGGTTCTTCGGATGTAGCAGCGTATGGTGTTTACGCTGACAAATACGGCATTTCGAAAAAACACGGCAGTATTTGGAAGTATGATTACTTCCCAAACAATTAAAACAGGCACCCAAAGATTGTGTTACGGCACGACGTCCGTCCACATCTAGTTGGCAAAACTTCTTACAATTTAAGAGTTTGTGACTCTCCGAACAGTGTGGACATAACATATTAGTCGTACCGTGCATGACCTTAGTGTGAGATGTAGGATGATGATCGAGTTTTAATTTATTTTTAGGCTCAACGCATTCGAGAGCACGAAAACGTGTTTCCAAAAACTCGCAAAACTGTTTAAAGGAAGGTAGATCGTCGGATGATTTAGTGACATGCAGTTCCCACTGCTTCCTCGATTCTACGTCCAACTTTAAGCTTGCAACGTAAATAATAATTACATCCCAAGAACTTACATCGATCCCAATATTAGTAAGTTCGTGCAAACAGTCACTGGTCACATCTAGTAAATCTTTTAGTGCTTTTGATGATTCATTTCCAATATTACGTTGGCCAAATAATCTATTTAAAATATATGTGGATACAAATCTCTTGTTATTATACCTATGTTCTAACATTTCCCAGCATTTTTTATAGTTTAAATCAGTTATAGGTACATGTTTTATAAGCTGCTCCGCTTCACCTGACAGTTGAGTTTTTAAATAATGGAGACGTTGGACATCATCAAGTTTTTTATTGTTGTGTACTAATGACACGAACAAATCACGGAATGACGACCACTCTGTATATTTTCCGCTAAAAGTAGGTAAAACTATTTTTGGCAATCTTACCACACTGCTGTCAGATGAACCATCGCAACCTTCCTTCCTGGAGCTGTGAACTTTTAATTGGGACAAAACATTTTTTAATTCTACCTTGTACATTAAATAACACTCATAAACCGTCTCATAGATATCTTCCTGGAAAAAGTCCTGTAATTCTTCACTTTCGCAATCACCTACGATGACTTCATATTTCGCAGAAAAATTCTTGAATTGGGTCTCTAACATCTCTAAACGGGCATCGACATAATTGTAGTTTATCCGATCTCTCGGGGACTTCTTGTAATTTATCCAGCCCTTTTCAATTTGTAATTTGATATCTTTCAGCTTTCTTAGTTCTTTCTCCATGTTGTTTGTATTCATTAAAATATTCTAAGTCCAGTGAAAGATAGATGAAAATTCTCTAAGTGTCGCTGACAGTTGACAATTGACAAATTTTCCAAGTCCAAACTATAGAGAATTTTTCTAAGTGTTTAATACTTTGTAGATCGCTTCGAAATCGGGCATAGATTCGACGTCTGGTCGTTTTTCTCGAAACTATTCTAAGTCCTGATCGAATGCACGCGAATTTTTCTAAGTCCCTAGTTTTAATGATTTGAATGTACTCACAGTTCTTTGTCCACAATTATGCACTTCACTTCACTACTACGAAGTTCAACGATGATTTCCGATGTATGTCCTCGGCAGCTGAGCACGTAGTCTTCCACATGTGGTATTGTTAACCGACAACTATCACCATCTCGTATCAATTAGCACAACTATATTTAATTGTATGTGTTCTTCCATAAACACCCATCCGGCTCGAAGGACCATGAACAGTATCGGCCGAAAGTCCTTTGGAGCCTATTACTTGAAATAATACGAAGTACCTCAGAGCAAGACAATTTATTTACGTCAAAGCAGACAACCTAATGTTTTGCCGGTAACGAAACCATAGCTTGAATTTAAATCGGCCAACGCCATCTATCGAGCTATGGGACAACACAATAAATAGTAGTATGGCGTTGGCCGAGTGCATCTTTTAAACAGATTATTTCTACACTGAACACATAAATTACACAAGTTCGGAAACTGGCCATGTAATTGTATCGGCTCCTAAATTTACTGCAAACACATAAACACCTCAATACGTCTATAATGGAATGTTGACGCATCTTTAGTTGCTTACTATATGGGTCTACTTTGATAAGTAAATTGATTGTTACTTTGGAATTTTGGCAGAAAAAATACTTCTTTTATAAACTACGTATAAAAAACCTCCTTCCACTCCCTCTTTTTTGATATTGGTAAAATAATAAGTATACTGAAACATTATGTTAAGTGTAACAAACATTTTTGTGAAAATCCCATCAAAATCGGTTCAGCCCATTGCGAGATAATTGCGCACAGATACATATAACATACATACAAACATACAGGTGAACCTTCTTTTTTTTGAAGTCGTATAAAAATAACTATATTTAAGTCAAAATCTTATCTTGTACTATTATCTTATACTGTTATATGAAGTGGAAGAGTTTGTTTTTTTGTTTATTTGTTTGAACGCGGCAATCTCGGTAACTAGAAGTCTGATATGAATAATTCTTTTTCTGTTGGATAGTCCAAAGGATGGCTATAGGCTATAAAACATCACGCTACGACTAATAGGAACTGAGCAAAGCGTGTGAAACCGCGCGGAAGTAGCTAGTATTTAATAAAATAATGTGTAACTTAATAAAGACACCGTTAAATATTTAAGAATCCAAAGTTAAAAAAATGACCTAGGAGATAAATATGCTGAATATGCATTTGAAATAACTTAAGAAAATTTAGCCCATAGCCGTAGCTCGTAGCGGTAATTGTAGCAGATCCGTCGTAGTCACTCGACGCTCTCGTAGCGGTTCTACGAATGCTACGGCTTAGTCATCTTGGCTACGCACTATGTAAGTAGTTAAAAGGGGTGTGTGAAAATAACAGGGTGGGGTAAAATTAATTAGATTAGACTACATTATTGCTGACTGACTTTTTTTTAAGGGGAGAAAATCATCGAATGACTGCTCCCGCCTGGGTGAGGCGGGAGGGAGTGTCAGACTCTTACTGACTAAAAACCACGCCGTTCCTTCTCCTGCACGTCGAGCCAGACCTTGAATTTATACTAACGATGAAATACTCAAACGTCACTCAATTGTAAGTCGAGCTTATATAGTTCTGTCTCTACAAATTCTTTGTAAAATGACAGAGATGGCACGATATTTAAGTATGTACAACTTAAAATTGAGTAGCCTTTCAGTATTTGGTCGTAGGACTATTATTTAGGACTCGTCTCACTGAAAGCACAGATACTATTACAGCCTTTCTTTCGTGAAACAAAATAAGATAACGTAATGAAAACTGACCTTAAAAAAAAAACAAAATAAATATAGTTTTGTTTTCGAGATGAATGTCAAAGTCTGTTTACGAAAAGTTAACATAAAAATTGGTTCTTATTATAATTGAAAATTAATATAATTAAAAATTAAGCATAGTTTATTTTTTCTTATTGTTACGTATAAGTTCAAAACAAACTATATCAAACATTACTATCTACATAATGTAATAGTATATTAGCCGCAATATATAGTTGCAAAATATACAATAGGTAAGGTGTTTCTGTATGAAAACGTACTACATCGCTAGTACTTGTAAGGTGATGAGCAGAGTAACAGGGTGCTCGGAGATGAATGTGAACGTATCGCACGTCGGTGTGTGTGTCCAATGTCTATTCGTGTATCGTCTATCGGAATGTTGTGTTAAAATTAAGGGAACGATTTATTAAATAATCTAGAACAAGTAAATTGTAAATGTACTAAAATGAAAAGTGAAAATTAGAAACTATATTCGATAGTTTAAAAAACATTTTGTTAAATCTCGTTATTTCTATAAAATAATTACCCAAAGACTGATTACATGCCAAAGACTTTAACCAACTCTTAAATTAATTGTAAAACATAACTAACTAATAAAACATTTAAACATCAAATACAAAAGGCATGAAAAATAAAGGAGTTTCTCTTCTAAACAATAAAGAAAAAATAAATAATAGACCTTAAGACATAGACACAAAGAAGACGTTACAAAAAACATCATCGGGAATGTTTTCCAACAGCAACTTTAATCTCGTATGTCGTGTGTGTATGGGAGAGGTGCAGGCGTGTGCCCGTCACGGAGCGCAGTGCCGCATTCCGGGGAGCGGGGCGGGCGTGCTGCGGCCGCGTGCGGCGACCGTGCGGCGCGGCCGGGGCTGCCAGGGTAAAGAAAATGTACCATTCTGTACTAATTTTCGTGGGGTATATATGGAGGTATATATTTGAGGAATGTTTTTGGAGATGAAAGTTATGTTAAGTGTTGTATTTATTTTGAGCAAATCTGTAGAAGTCTGATAGTTGGTTGTAATTTTTTCTACTCTTTCTTTTCAGGCTGGCATAATAGCTGGAATTGATACTACTTATGTTCTGGTGTCTGTATGTAAATCGAGAATTTACTCTATATACTTTTATATCTTCTCATACAATTGTATACAGTATAAAAATATATGTGTAACAACAATGATAACTTCAACCGTATATGCTACATGGAAAGGAATACAGACAGATGTAATACAGAATTTCATGTAACATCACATTCAACAGAAACTGGCTCAATAAAATACTTCACAAACTGCAATAAACCTCTTCAGTACTATTTCTTTATTGGGGGAGTTATTGTAGTTAGTTTAGTAGTGGAAGCTGGCAACATCCCGGCGTGTCTCCGGCAGTCATGCCCCGCGACGCGCCGGCTACGGCCGCGTTGGCCGCCGCCACGCTCGCGGTACTCGCCGCGCTCGTCGGTGAGTTCAAATTCAAATTTTCAATTTTCGAATCAACTGTCATTTCATACTTACTCTTTTTTTAACGTCAGATAGTTTTTGGTTCTCTTTCACCGGTGTTTAGTATTGTGATTCGTTTTATAAAGCAGGTTTCAAAGGAAGACAGGTTGTTTATGTTTTTGACGAAATTATGAATTAAAAATATTTAGTTTTGATCTATCAAGTTATGTAAGAGGGAGTATGTGAACGTATGTATTTTTATTATTACTTTACAACACTAATTTTAGAAATAAATGCATTTGCCAATATTATTTCTAGCAGAACGATGTAAATGTAATACATAAAATATACTTAATTAAACAAACAAAAGATAACCTTTGCTGTTTTATGCTCGTAGTTGGAAATTATGCGGTACATTTTATGTTCGCCAGTACCGGCAGTACTCCGACAGACAATAAACCCAACCTTTTGCTCTACTTATCATAACGACCTCTATAAAGGATGCTAAAAATTTGAATCTCCTAAAATAGACATATTTTAGCGAAATATAATACAAGATTAGGGCCACAAAAACAACTTTTATTGATAATTTTATACACCCACAAAAGACACATATCATATATCACATAAATGATACAAGAACGGATATACGGATTACCTACAAATGGAAAATTCCTGTTTCATTATAATTATCGTAAAACATAACATTAATTAGCAATCAACGGACCGCAATTGGATGTATCCGCATAATAAATGCGGCATACACATTTCATAAATTGAATTCGAGAACGAACTTTAACAATGCAATTTGATGCAGCCAGCTGTAGAGAACAATATTAAAAAGTAAAGTTCATTTGAATATGGAACACTATGCAATTTGAAAAGAGGTTTACAATGATTTTTTTCTTTATTTTTTAAACGTGTAAGGTTATAATAACATGAAAAGAGACCGTATAACTAAGAATGATATGTCGATAACTGAAGTTAAATTGTATTAAGTCATAGTATATAGGTATGTGTTGTATATTAAAGACAATTCCATAAAAATCTTTAATCTACTTTTTAAGAGCGGCATCCGTCCAACCCTATAACTTTTTTGGTTTAAATTAGTAGGATTAACATTCAAGAATTATGGACTTAAATTAGGAAGTCTGCTTGTAAACAAAGTGGCCGGAATTAGGCAAAGGACTTGCCTTAACTGTGTAGCTTAAAGTTAACCTGGAGTTTGCAGTGGTACTTAATTAAAACACCTCTTGGGAACGGAAGGAATAAGGTGTAATCGTTGGTTTGGACTGTGGCTAATTATCGTTTGATCAACCCGCATTGAACAAGCGTGGTGATTAATGTTTAAACCTTCTCTGTACAAGAAGAAGCCTTTGGTCAGTAGTAACTATTTATAGGTTGTTGATGTGATCTGATGTGAAATTATCGTTTACAATTTATGGTTTTAACTTGAGTTCCATTATTGAATTGGATACGGATTAACAATTTATGTCAAAACTAGCTGTGCCCGCGACTTCGTTCGCGTGGTTATCAAAAACAAAACATCATCGTTTAGATAACAGTAGGCTATATACATATGAACTCCACTCAAGAAGATGGTATAGTATTTTTTTTGTCAATAAAGATCCTGACTATAGTACATTTTTATTTGGTAATATTGGTATCTAGTTGATTACGTTAATGCTTCCCTATATAATAGGTTAGCGGTTGAATTACCCGGAGCATTATACAAAAAGGTTTTTGTTTTTTTTCTATGACGCATTTTTTAAGGAAAATATCAAAGCAATATACAAAATCGACGAAATTTTAAAGATCGGTGCGTCGAACAGTCTCGTGTCAAAATATTGATACTAACATTTATTTTATTTTTAATATAGAGATTGAATGAACAGTATTATAAAAGAAAATTCAATTTATAGTTCAATAATAAAAATGTGTTATTTTACGAAACTAGTATTCAAAGTCAAATTTAAATATAGAATCGAAAAAATATAAGAATTCTTAACTTAACTAAGCTTTGTCTAGTTAGCTTTTTATACTAAAGCATTACGTGTCACGGATTCGTTTTCCGTGTTGTGCAAATATTTGAGGAAAAGGCAAATATTTGTTTTGTGTTACGTTGTTTTTGTATCCACCGTTTGTATTTGTAAACGCTCCCACGGTACAGAATACAGAAATAACAGTGGGAGTTGCCTATAGTATAATCCAATTATTCGGAACAAGAGAGATTTAAGAGAAAATTGTAAATAGGATTGTGATACGAAATATCTTAGTATTAACTAATTTATTGTAGGACCTAGGACACATTAGGTATCAATTGATGTTTTACAGCCTATAGCCTTCGTCGATAAATGGGCTATCCAAAACAGAAAGATTTTTCAAATCGGACCAGTAGTTTCGGAGATTAGCGCGTTCAAACAAAAAACAAACTCTTCAGCTTTTTTTTTTTTTAAAACGTTGCCCCACACTAGGAATTTCTCCTGTGTCGTGGGTGCGTTTACAAACATACAAGTTCACATACACATGACACCCAGACCCGAAACAACAATTTGTGGATCACACAAAGTGTTGTTCCGTGCGGGAATCGAACCCGCGACACGTTGCACGGCAGCCGGTTGCCCAGCCACCGCACCAATCGTGCAGTCATAATATAATAATCAGCTTTATAATCTATATATATAAAAATGAAACCCGTTTCCCGTTGTCACGCCATAACTTGAGAACGGCTAGACCGATTTGGCTGATTTTATTTTTGTTGTGTTTGTTATTGTCAGGAGAAGGTTCTTACGACAGAAAAAATCCTTAAAATAGTACGGGAATAGGAGAAAACGGGATTGCGCGTACGAAGTCGCGGGCAGAACCTAGTATTATATAGTAATAGATAAAAGGCAAAGTCAAAGCATTTATTTCAATTAATTCTTAATTAGGCACTTTTCAAACGTCAAAATTTGAATTGTCCGTCCGTCTGTCCGTCAGTGAATCTAGATGCTCGTTCCATAGTGTAGTTTCGAACGAAGAAGAACGAGAAAGAAACTTCATAAAGACAAAGTCCTAAGGTAATTGAACATACATACATACATACATACATTACTTCACGCCTGTCTCCCATGGGGGTATACAGAGACTATGGAACGCCAATTACTACGATTCCTACATACCTCATTCGCTTCATCAACAGTCAATCCTTCAATTGATATCATCAATCATCATTCTTGTAATTGAACAACGAGTGACTTACCGACTGAATAGTGATCCATGATGTGTCTAATGACTACGATGATTGCTTACCATGAGACAAGCCTTAAGCTTTGTTACTATCAATACCACATAATCTATATATATAAAAGAAAGTCGTGTTAGTTACACAACTTATAACTCAAGAACGGCAGAATAGATTTGGCTGAAAATTGGTAGCTTAGAGCCAGGAAACCGACAAAGGATACTTTTTAACCAATTTTTTTTTTACTTTTTTTCCGAAAATCACGAACGGGGACGGTAAAAAATGGGATGGTACGCGTACGAAGTCGCGGGCACAAGCTAGTAAATAATACAAGGACCAACACTACTGATAATACCTCGAGTAAATAACTACTAAAGTTCTACCCTAGATCTGTCACACTACCACACAAAGACAAATTAAGTGATTCTTCAGTTTTTCAAACTAGTAGCGGCAGAGATGTAGGTCAGAGGGCCTACAGCCAAGCTAACACTATTTATTCATTCAATTTTGTCTTTGTAAACCTTTTACAGTATTGTTATTCTTTGCTTTGTCGTAATCTATTTCAGTAGTTTATTTGTAAAAGCCGTTTTGCATTATGTGTTTAAAATAATACACTGTTTAATGTAAGCAAGGATATTAGAGACGTATCTACTAGATCTTGTACTCTTACCTTAGCTACATCGGAGTCGCGGAGAACCTAAAGGGTAACCGGGGCTCCGGCTCGACGTGCAGGAGAAGGAACGGGGTGGTTTTTAGTCAGTAAGAGTCTGACACTCCCTCCCGCCTTAGCTACATGCTGTTACAAAATAATATTTTATCATAACAATAAATCTAAAACGCTTCATCGCCGGCAAAATATCGCACAAAATTGTAACTTCAATTAATGCAAAAATGGCTAATTTTATCACCTATATTTATTTTGATCGCAAAATAGTACATCACACCTGAGACAATGCGTGAACGAAAGCGACAAAATCTTCTTTCTCACTCAAACAAAAATATAACATTACGCAAACTGTCGTCAAGGATCGCATTATGTTAGGATAGGTCGAGTTACAGAAGTATTTTGGCAAACTTGTCTAGTAAGTCATGGCCTACAAACACCATGTAGAATGCTATTGTCCTCATTCATGATATCACAAACATATTTACTGTTATTCCGACCAAAACTTCATGTATGTTAGACAATGTGTCCTAGATATTTATTACTAACTACTTCCGCGCGATTTCACACGCTCTGCTCAGCTCCTATTAATCGTACCGTGACATTTTATAGCCTATAGCCATCCTCGATAAATGCGCTATCTAACACAATAAGAAATATTCAAATCAGACGTGTAGTTCTGAAGATTAGTGCGTTTAAACAAACAAACAAAAAAACAAACTCTTCAGCTTTATATTACTAGTATATAGGTATAGATTAGCTAATTCACTTCTATGTACAATTGTATACGTGGTAGTATGGTAATACTTATTAAAACTCCGTAATGAAACTTCTAAAGGTAGTGGGCGATGCTAAAACATGTGTTTTTCACTTCACGATTCCGCTAAAAATTCATATGATTTTACTTTGATTATGACTGCACAGTTGGCGCGGTGGCTGGGCAACTGGCTGCCGCGCAACGTGTCGCGGGTTCGATTCCCGCACGGAACAACTCTTTGTGTGATCCACAGATTGTTGTTCCGGGTCTGGGTGTCATGTGTATGTGATATTGTATGTTTGTAAACGCACCCACGACACAGGAGAAAATCCTAGTGTGGGGTAAAGTTTATTTAAAAAAAAACAAAAAAAAAATCT